CTGAGCCTGAAAACCATAATTTGAGACCATAATTTTCTACAGAGGCCCTTTTTCAAATAACCTCAGACTCACAAAAGCAAGCTCCTTAAAGATGCAGCAAAATCACTTCATCACCGTTTCATGTATTTTATTTTAAAGGACTATTAAGAACCCATTCTTTCTGATAGAATTCTATTTTCATCTCCACTTTTTTTTTTCCTTTGGGAGCTTGAAAAATAAGATTTTTCTACTCTCTCTCTGCCTTTTTTTCCCCTGTCTGTTTCTATTTGATCAATGGTGATTCTTTTTTTCCTGTGCTTCTAAGAGAGTTGACATTAAAATGCCTAGTTCCTATTCTCTTTCTGTTGTATTTGTGCATCGGAGCCATTCACAATGATGTCAGCTCAGCTCTGGGCATTGTCTCTACTAGTTCAATTCCAGCTGAATTGCTGGAGCTAGCAGGACATTAGCATTCATTTGATTGATTTAGCATACCCAGAGAATGAGTTTTGCATTCAGCTACATGCATTAAAACCAGAAGAAATTATAAAGCAGTCCAAAGTTGGTAAGCTCTTTTGGAGTCACACATCTTTCGCTTCTCATGTATCTTCCTGTGCTTGAGGGCACTATTTAAATAATGGCTATTTCAATGCCAAGCCCTTCCTTGACAGTGCTCATGGATGAAAAAGGAAAGAAAAGTAATTTAAAACTATGAATGTAGTTAATCAATTTAACAGATTTCAAGTCTAAAAGATAGTATTACACATTATCTCCTATAAAATGTGGGCTATAAAGTTTCATCCTGTAATTCCAGCATTTTGTCCAACAACTGGAGAGAATTAAATACTTCAACCCAAGTTTTGAAATTAGTATTAAAAACATAATAGTATCTCTCTTGTTGGCTTTAAAACTTGCTTCCTTTGTCCAGTGCCTACCCGTGTGATAAGGTCTTGGTGTCGTATGTGGCTGTGCACACTTGCTCAAGATGCACACGACCTACAAAGATTCCATGTCTTTCCAGATTCTGGATTTTGAGCGTGAAACTAAAGAGAAGAGGAGGATGCAGGGCAAAACTTTCAGAAGAGGGGACTAAAGTTTGGCTCCAGAATCCACCCTCCTCCAAAAGAAATTCTGAGCTGAGCAGCTCCCTGTGAAGTGAATGAAGGAATCTGGCTTTACCTACCCATGAACTAGAATCTCCACCTCACTGTTTTATGACTTTAGAACAGGGATTCCCAAAACCTTTTCCAACAACAGGATCGAAGACCTCAGCAGACACATTTGTTCCATTATGCACTTTATGGTCTGAATGAAACAATGCAAGTATTAGGCACGTAACAGGACAGTAACAGTTGGCATCTTCATAAAAGCCCTTTTCCTGCACTGTCTCTGTTGGCTTCAATGGGAGTTCAGCTATTCAAGATGAGAGTTTGTAACTTTAAGACAACAACCACACTTGACCCCCTCTTCTGATGGAGTCAGACGGATAAGTAGAACTCGCATATTTGCCAGTAGCTTCAGCACTATATACGGGTGATGTGACAGCAAAGTCAGCTGTCCCAGTTCAACCATACCTCTGCATTTCTCATAATTTCAACAGTATCTTCTGATTAGGTGTCCTTTCCCATATGGCCAGTAGCATAACTGCCCAGAAACACCTGCAACAGCTCACCTCTAGCTTCAGTTACCTGTTCTGAATGTTACTGCACTGCTGTAGCTCAGCCTCTCCGCTGAACACCTACGTAACAGAGAGACCGATGAGCCCATTTCCAGGAGAGTGGACAGTCATTTGTGATCATTAACAAGCAGACACGGTAAAAGATGACAACTCTTGTGTCAGCTGAAACATTTTGCATTAATTGGAACAAAGTTCCTATCAAATATGTTTTGATAATAGCCAATCTCTCATGGACATTTTGGACCACACGATGAGAACGTAACATTTGAGGTCTTTCCTTGGAGGCACAAAAGAGCATCAGAAGGCAAATGCAGCTGCAGCCAGCAAGGAAAGACAAACGGAACACAGCAGGGGATCTGTGCTGTCTGTCTTGGCAAGCAACGAGCCATGGAGCTCTTCAGCTCTGTCAGCAGTTCAGATCCTGGCGCAGGTCTGTAGGCTTCAAAAGCTGCTCTTGTTTGAGAGTATGCTAGAGATATTATGATCAGTAGCAAGTAAGGGGTGAAGCTGCAGCTAAAGAACATCTCCATGGACAGCAAGTCAGTACGCAAAGCTGAAATCTGGCCGATACTCTGTGCACATACATGGCTACGTATTTTAAAACAAAACTAATGCACAGCCATTTGCGGTGATCTTCGAGGAGCCAGCTCTTCTGGTCCGTTCCTACCATGTGACTCAGCTTCTCCCTTGGCTTTTCTCACTTAACTTCCACCTTAGGGCTGGCCCTTCCTTGGTTATGACATTTGACTGGTTCCCAGCCCATGGCTTCAAACACTTATCTCCTCCTGCAGTTCTTTAAAGCAGTTTCCTGTAGTAATTTGAGATGGATAGCTTACAGGAGTATATGTGTGTCTAAATGAGCTCTAATGTAACTCCAGAATACTTAACAATGGCTGCTGTGAGATCTTAAGCATTACTATGTCATTTTAATCCTTTTAACACCAAGCAACAATTTCAAGCAACATAGAAGCGAGAAGAGTCTCTTCAGGTTTGTAATATGCTTTGCATCCTGCTTAAACTTTCTCTTCACTGATCTGCTGCTGGATAAAAGCAACATTGAAAATATATTGAAGTGACAATCAAGATCTGTAGCTACATTAGTCATTCTGTCAGAGCCTTGGAAAGAACCTCGCTGAAGTCAAGCAGGAATACAATTTGTTGAAGCATCAGCCAAAGCAGCGAGTCGCAACTCAGGCAAATCTCGCTAAAGTACATGACCAAGCAACCGCTGAAACCCTGAAAGCCACAATTGATTCTGCAAATAGGAGGTAGGGAATACAAACTTTAAACTGACCTCCAGCCTCTGGTATGTGGTAACAACCTGAGTGTCCGCCTATCTACACCTTAAAAGCAGCCAGGTGGGAAAAGAAAGGACGAGCAATGTTCCCTTAGTATAGTAACAGAACTACCCAAACATACAAACTGACTATTTTCCTATCACAGTGTGTAACTAAGGTTTAGTTCCACTGAACAGAGCTATTCTGGACATACACTGGTCCAACTAAAATCACTATTCTGTATCATTTTTACCTGAACCAGAGGCAATGGTTCCCCAAACCCAGAAGAGTGAAGCAATCTATGTTCTCACAGATCTTTTTGCCAAAGATAACATTGTTTAGCTTTGATATCTACAGTACAGCCACAAGCCTAGAAAAAAAAAAAAAAAAAAAAAAAAAAAAAACAACCTTACCTGAATAACTGAGGCATCTGGGGAACACAGCCAGATGCCAGAGAATCCAGAGCAGCTCAGTTGTAAATTTAAATAAAACCCACTAAGTCTGGCCAACCAGGGCATACCTTACAATACAGGGAAAACCTACATAGGACTCTTTCCTAACCACTATGTTGGCCTAAAGGTACACTACAATCAGCTAATAAAGAGAGAAAACAAGTAAAACCTTTTTTTTCCCAAGAGACTGGTGGAAAAACGGAGCACACTATTGTTCAGCCGTGCTCCTTCAAATCGGGTGTCAATTCTAAGCTCTTGAGATGATGAATTCTCACATACTTCTTTCAATCTGGAGCTCAGGAATAATTATCACTAAAGGGAAGAAAAAGCTCTGTTAGTAGAAAAATATTTTGGCTTTAGTCTTTAAATATTAACTAACTTTGCATGTGCGTTGTGCTCTATGCCAGGGGAAAGGAAAACAAGCGAGATGTACCATGCTTCCAGCAGTTTATTGTGTTGGTTTGGACATTTAGGGCAGTATATCCCATCGGCATCAGCAGATTTGATCTTGGATATGGTTTCAGGCCAGTTCTGCCTTTCCTTCGCTATCCTGTCCTTGTGCGTACAGGTTCCAATTTAAAAGCAGCGCGTTCGTGCTAGAAACTTAAAACTGCTTTCCCCATTAGCCACGGAAAGACGCTCACAGAGAGATTCGGGCGAATATAGCCACCAAGGCGCTAACCAGGCACCCCACGGCCCACCGCGGCAGCCCGCGCCTCAA